TAAAGTAGCAAGAACGATTATTTTGTCTTCCAAAAGATCCAACATGGGATTCCTTTGAAGCAGCTATTTTGACAATTGGACTTTCTTTTTGACCATTAGTGCAGTAGAACCCAGGCATGGCTAATCACAGTTGCTGTATTGCTCTTGGGGAAGGGGTTCTTTTAACTTGAAATTTATCTTCTGTTAAAACCATATCAAACCATTCTACTATGGCGCTACTTAACAAGTACATTGTAACTATGAGCATAAAAATGAAAATAGAGTGGGAAAGATGTTTTTCATAGTTGTTGTCAGAATTAAAAAGAGAGAACGATTGTCAGGGTTTTCACGCACCCTGTGCCGACTCTGACTGCACCCTGGACAACTCCAGGAGATGATTCACAGAGACTATGATGCAACACATGTCCACTCTGTGCTGAGGCTTCATAAAAATGTTCAGTCCTGAGCCTGACATGCAGTAGGCATCAAATGAAGGTTATCTCATTATTATTCATAGCATAATAAATTCCTGAGAGCTAGTCAATTGACAGTAAAAGGCTACAATAAACAGCTGCTGCCTATATGACTTCACAGTTGCCTGGGTTCACTGTTCTTGTTTCTATTCCACAGATGTCTGGGTTAGACACCGTTCTCAGTACTTGGCTACTGGAGCTGTTGATCATTATGTTTAAAATACTTTGAACGTGATCAAGAGCCCAGTGTCACTGTCAGTGCACAGACAGTGGCTAGTGTCCCAGATAGGGGACATCAGGGAATTCAGGCTGGCTGCCCCATGACCCCTTGTCATCAGCCTCTTTCTGCTCACAGGCAGCCTGATCTCTATGCACATCTATGCCCTCAACAGGAACAGTGCTCTGGCCTTACCCAGACGTACTATATCTCTGGGCTTGGAGGGCAGACAGGGTGTGGGCTGAGGGGTTTCCTCTGCCAGGATTTGATATTTAAGAAAGTCCTATCTTGTAGGTCTTTGACCCATTGCACTTTCCTCTGAGTATGTGACAGGTCTCCACCACTTTGCCTATATGCCTTTTTCTGCAGGGGCCCAGCTAGGGAGAGGGACAACATTCTCAGGCCCTCAAGACTGAGAGTGCAAAATTAAAGTCCGTCACTGGGGAGACACCGTTATGGAGTGCTGTGTGACAATGGGGACTTTTGACATTTTTCTTATTCCTGGGAAATGGGTGGGGTAGTGTTCCATTATGTGAGAAACTGCAAGCCAAAACTCCCTATGGGACAATACCCAGTGGGGCCCTCACCATGATTCTAAGATTTGCTCTTTAATCCCAGGTTAACAAATCAATCATTTATTATACTGAATTCAAAAATAGTTACTATGTCTTTTGTGGGTCTCTAAGAACACTTGGTAGCCAACAGCTTGATGCCTCTTTTTGCTCCTTGCTGCAGGAACTGCATTGGGCAGCAATTTGTCATGAGCGAGATGAAGGTGGTCACAGCCCTGTGTTTGCTGTGCTTTGAATTCTCTCTGGATCTCTCAGAGCTGTTCATCAATATCCCCAGCTGGTCCTCTGCTCTAAAAATGGCATCCACCTCCACCTCAAGTCACTGGGCTCTGGGAAATAGGTCTTTGGAGTCATCATGAAGCCCAGCTTTTGGGGGGTTAAAGATGTGAAGGCATTGGGACTGACAGTCTCATGGAAGGCAGTCCCTTGTAAACACGTGTGTCTAATGACTCAATGTCTTTATGTCACAAAAATTTGTAGAACACCGGCTGTTTCAAGAAACTTAATTTCTTTCTCATAACTCTATGTCTTTCTAAACCAAACAAATAAAAATTCAGAACCATACATTGCAGGCCTTGAAAAACCTTAGTGAAGACAATGGCAATGTTGCCTTGAGATCTGTGGAGGAGGGATGGGGAGGAGGGATGGCTGGATAGAATGTGGTCCTTCATTGACATGCATGTATTTATCTGCTTCTGTGTGTGTTTGGAACATAAATAAAAACTGATTAAATCTGTACAAGATAATGAATAATTGTAAAAGCAAACTCTCACCTCCAAAGTGACAGAACATGAACGGTGTCTCTACTGGTGTGACGTCTTCCTGGGGACATCTCTGTGGGACCTTTGTCCTTCCCAACAGTGGTGTCTTATAGTCACACAGTGCTCTGGCCTTCACAGTATTGCTAGGGAAGGTGCTGCAGTAGCATTAAGGTGAGATCCTGGGAGAAAGGGAACTCTTTTCCACAAGGCATGACTGTGCAAAGAAGGAATTTGGGGGTGGAGGTCAGGGTGGGGCCCACATGATAACTGAGTGTCTTTCCCTGCCAGTCCCTGCAGCAGCAGCCTGTTGGCTGTGGGTACCAATATCTCCAGGATTCAAGGTCTAAGGTTGGTAGGAGGTTCCAATCCAGGGGTTAACCCCAGTGGGTCAGAGGTCAGGGTGGGGCCCACATGATGACTGATGAGTATTTCCCTGGGAGTTCAAGGTCTAAGGTCAGTAAGAGGTACCAATCAAGGAATTAGCCCCATAGGGAAGGGACAGCACTAGAAACTAGGATCACAGGTAGGAGCTAGGAATTCTATACCTGGAACTTGGTGAAGTTTCTAGTGCAACTGTAGTCAACAGGGATGCAAGTGGGTTTTTTTGATGACCCATTCATGGTATTAGTCTAAGACCCTCAGAAAACACAGACTTTTTACATTACTATTCATAACAGTAGCAATATTACAGGTATAAAGTTGCAAATTACAGCTATGAAGTAGCAATGAAAATAACTTTATGGTGGGGGTCACCACAACATGAGGAACTGTATTAAAGGGTTGCAACATTAGGAAGGTTGAGAACCACTGCTCTAGAGTGTCCTGGATTATGTGGCATACACTTTCTCCCTACCAAAGATTTGTTCCCTCTTGGGATAAGTTTACATATCGGCAGATTTTCCTCAGGACATTTGTTAACTACTGTTAAGCCCCGTCAAGACCTAGATATCCCTGTAAACTCGAAGCTGTATGCAAAGTTCCCATATCACTGTGCCTGTTGGTTATGAGCCCTAAGGCAGCTGCCTTGCCTTTTGTCCTAGCACCAGACAGACCTCTCTAAACAAATGTAGTAAGGATTCAGAAGTTATCACTCAGTGCTGATTCTACAGTCATAATCACCATGTGCCTCTGGGTGGCACCTGAATCTAAATTATATTATTTTAGATCATAGGTGTTTTCGCCATTGTGATGTAAGGACAGGTTGGAGGCATCCTCCTCTGATAAGAGAAAGCTGTGACTGCATTTTAATACTAAGGTAAGGTTCCTGATGGACATTGATCTAGGAGGAACTTTAGCCAAGGCTTCCTGACTCTGATGTCTTTGTTCAAAACTCCATCATTAATGTCAGCTCTCCTTTAGTGTAGGAATCAATTGGAATAAAGCCAAGACCTATGAATCTGTGTGTGTGTGTGTGTGTGTCTGTCTGTGTCTGTGTCTGTGTGTGTGCATTGGGACCTCCTGGGTGACAGAGCTTGGACACTGGAACTGATGTCCATTATAGATGACCAGAGATTCATCCTTTTAACTTTACAAACCCACCTGAGGCTCCCCTGGTCTTGGGCATACAATGCCCATGCATGGGTTGAATGTGTTGTGGGTGTGCATAGATGCTTACATGAGCGGGACTTTGTGTGCATCATGAGGGGGACTGCTCATGCCAGTGACCTGAGAAAAAGTCTTGCCTGTTTCTCCCAGGCAGTAGAATCACTTTCTGGCCACACATTTCATCCCATTTGGAATCCTGTGGTTAGAGTGTGTGCCCTCGGCTGGGTACCCAGCATTCTGTTCTGTGCTCTCACTTTCCTTTGTTCTCTCAGCATGGCCAGCATGAGACTTTCTGGATTACTTGAAAGTTTCTGCAGGACAACTTTGGGTATGTTCCTGCCCAGATCTCTCCTTGGTCAGGTACTGAATATCCTGTATGAACTCTTCTACCCTTCCTCAGAACCACTCCACACTAGCCCAGCAAACTGGAAGGTTAGGAATGAGGAAGGAAGTCCTGGTTGCAGACAGTGGATTCCAGAGAAGCCATTCTAGGAAGCAGGGCATGGCATACCAGGGAAATCTGTCCATTGCGTCATGGATTCTGATCCAGGAGCAGTTTGAACATGGGTTCATGACAAACACTGTGTGTGACACTGGGAATATTATTGTTCAGAAAAGAAAGGATGGAGAAACTTGTGTGAAGGACAGTCAGGTAGAGGGAGACTATTCAGGAGAGATGTAGACAAAGCGACCAGATGACAGTCATGTAAAGACTATGCCAGGCTTCACAATGATGTTCAAGCCCTAAGTTTGGAACCCATGAATGTTTTCTCATGATTCAAAAGGGCTTAGTATGTTGGACTGAGAAAAACATATAAAGCTGGCAAATTTGTCTTGGATTTTATTAGTGGGCTTGATTATATCACAAGAGTCTTTATAAAAGGGCAAAAATTAAAAGAGAGGGATTCAGAGGATGCTGTCTTTCAAGCAGGGTGAGAGTCCGGTGCTGAGGAATGATGGTTTATACTGGAAAGTGGAGAAAGACAAGTCTCCGTAGAACTCTCCAGAAGAAGGTTCTTCATACTAACAACTTGGTTTTCTGTAAGGGACACCCATTCCAGACTTCTGAGATCCAGAGCTGTAAGATAACTTTCAATTATTTTAGACCACCAATGTTGTGACAGTTGATTAATTGTGTAATGAGGAAGTTATGTAGGGAAAAAATAAGATGACAGGGAGATAAGAGGCAAAGAGAGGAGGCTGGAGGAGAGAGAAGATACGGAGCAGATGTGGGTAGTATTAGACCGAAAGACAAATAGGGAATCTAGAGGAGAGAGAGAGAGAGAGAGAGAGAGAGAGAGAGAGAGAGAGAGAGAGAGAGGAGCCAAGAAGCAAGGGAACAAACCAGAGAAGAGGAAAGCTGAGCAGATAGAAAGCCAGATGGTGACAGGAACAGATGACATGCAGACAGGACGTCAGGCAGCATGCTCATAGAGTCTGTCCTTGTCCCTACCAGATTTAGTGGATCTTCTTGAGATGCAGGTAGATCCCATTCTTAGGTTTTAACACAATTTGTAGTAAGGGGATGGGCACCCTGGTGGGATCTGGCAGCAGCTCAAAGCGGAGCAGGGTCAGGGCCACAACCACCTTCAGTTCATTCATAGCAAATTGTTTCCCAATGCAGTTCCTGGGTCAGAAAGGGACAATGAAATTCAATGACCTCTGACCTGAGCAGGGAGAGGCCCCTGAAATACCCCAGAACAGCATCCAGGCGCTATCTTTACAGATCCAGTCTAACCTCAGTCATTTCAGGTCATGCCTTCATCTTCCCCAGGCTGTGGCTCTCCTGACTTTTGATTCAGCCTCTATATATTTCAGGGCTACTTTGACCCTCGTTCTTTTAGAGTTATGAAGTCTGTTAGGCCAATATTCTAAGCATTAGAGCTCAAAATTCTGAATTATTTATGAAGTTAATCACTGCTTAGTTTATTCCATCCAGACGGACTCGGGCATGGCTTCCAAGGAGTGGAGTCAGATTTCAGTAGCAACGTTTCTAAGGAGGACTGTGTTGGAGATCTTCAATCTGCTGTCCTATCTGGCTCCTACTTAGGGTACCTCTGCCTCCTTCATCGGCATCAGTAACCATCTAACTGTACTTCAGAAATGTCCCTTGTTCCTGCTTCAGTTTTCTTTCCTGGACTTCTCTGGTCTCCCTGACTCGACCTCCGCAATGATCCTCTGTACCTCCATCAGGCAGGACTATATTCAGATGCCTAGCTGCAGCCACACCCTTGACTGGCTGGTGCCCTCATCTATTTTCTGCCATCCCACTTCCTACTTCAGATCAAGTTGCTGATGTGTTGACAAAGTCTCCTCTCCCTCGGGCTGCATAGTACCAAAGCTCAGGCCAATGAGCAGCTGCCTCTCATTTCTTTGTGACTCTCCGTGTACTTCTGGGGCATCCATGGCCCCATCAGTGTTATGTTTAATGACATGCCAAAGTGAGGGAAAGGGGTGATGTTAGAAACAAAGCATTTCCCAACTGCTCAATAAAAAAATGAAAAAAATGAGGAAGAACTTATTTTGACTACAGATATATTTGTCTTTGTGGAATAATGTTTTGAGTTGGAGGAAGGGGTAGGAGAATATCATTCATTCTCATGTTTTTATCTAATATAGAACCTGGCACATAAGAAATGCTTTAGTAATTTATTTTAAATTTAAAATAATCATTTTTATTTGGCTTCAAAATGTCATTCACTTGAATTTAAGGAATAAAAATGGAATTAAATACAATGGAAATTACAAAGAATATGACCAAAGCAACGTGTAGTGACCTGTACTTTTTGAGGCCGGGGGATCATGAACTCCAGGCAAGCCTTAGATTGTCTCAGAAAATGCCAGCAGCAGCATGTTTCATTACAACTTAAGCTGAGTTACCCACGACTCTCTGTCTTCTAGTGTCAGTGACATGATTTGCTGTGAGTTGTGGGGAGGAGCATTCAACCTCAAGTACATCAATGCTAGACAGCCTATGTTGGAAGAACAACTGGCTTGTAGCCTGCTCTGTGAAATCTGATTTGCCACCTGAGGAATTCATGAATTCTGAGCCTATGAAGTACAGGCTCAGAAAAACCTGCTTCTGCTTTGTCTTTTAAAGCTAACATGGGATGTAGAAAAAGACAAGATCTCCTGAGTAAATTGGGAGCATGGGGACCTTGGGGGAGGGTTGAAGGGGAGGGGAGAGGCAGGGAGGGGAGCAGAGAAAAATGTAGAGCTCAGTAAAAATCAATGAAAAGATAAGAAATTTTAAAAAAGCTAACAGTGAGTCAGGTCCCATGGGAGACCTGAAGATTTTACTAGAAGCCATTGGAAAGCCTTCAACTGGTTCAGTAACTATTTCAAGAGTGTTTTATATTTCACTCACCAGAAATCTTAATAATCCTATGTGCTTTATATAAAACAGAGGGTTTTCTCAGAAACATTTTATTCTCCTCCACTTTAAGGCTTTTTGTCTGCAGACAGACCACACAGTCTCAAAGTGTGACTTTAAGGTATATATATTATCTGTCAAGGTTTGAACAGCTTGGTCAATTACAAGAGGAATGTGCACATTGGTGCTGAGTCTCTGATTGAGTGGGAGAGACTGCACAGGTGGAAGCCATGGAAGTGGAATAAACTTTTCCATAAAAGACTTTTTGTAACACCTCAAGTCTCTGGCTGGACAGTTGTCCAGGGCTGACATCCAAGCAAACTTAGCACTTTCCACAGTGATTCTCAGGAAGGGAGCTTGGCCTGACTGAGGTATGGGAAAAGGCATGACACATAAGAACCCTGGAACTTGAAAAGCTGGATGCTGTAGTTAAAATCATAGGATTAAAAACATCAAATTCCAGTCCTGCTCCTAACATATGAGAATATTTGCAAGTCTGTGTCATCAACTGACAGAAAAAGCTGGCTGGCCAATGGGAAGTGCAATGGGTCAAGGTCTTCACAGTGTCTCCTGCAATGCTACCCTCCTTATGCATACACACACATTTTCAAGGAGCTTTCCCCCCATATCCACCAACAGAATACACCTGGAGATGTCATGCATGCATGAGGTCAAAAACATTAAGGTATGCTGCAAATACCCTGCAGAGTGTATTCTATCAATATACACAGGCTGTCTCACCTTGCTCCTCCTGAGAAGGGCAGGAATGAATGGCTGTGTCGGGGAGAATCTGGTGCAAACCTGGAAGGGTCAAACACCTGCAGGGAGAAGGCACGTTTGTCAGGGCAAGTAGAAGTGAAACTTCTGCCTTCATCCCACCAGGGGAGAAGATGCTAGAGGTGGGGACAGCAGGTTTTGGTCTGGAGGCATCTCCCCCCGACCCACCTGTAGAACCTCCTACCTCTGGGTTTGGCCACAACTTCGGGTTGTGGTGGAGAGCATAAATGGAGAGGATGACTGGGATACCTGTGGGGCAGAAAGGAATAGGGGAGATGGTGTGTTATACCCAGGATGTGAACCTTGGTTCCCGAGGCAGTAAGGGACACGCCTGCACAAAAGGTCTTGCTAATAAGCGTCATCACTATGGGTAGATTTGGGTGACTTGGAAATGAACCTGAGGTACAAATGAGGAGTATAAAAATGGAGTTAAAAAAGAGAAGGAAGAAAGATATGAACCTGTGTTTTGAGAGAGAATCAGTTTAGAACTTATATTTGATGAAGGATTTCTGCAAAGATACCCAATATGGTACCCTCGTTGTTTTAGTGTGGCTTTTCCGGTGAATTAATGAAAGATTTCTGCAAAGATGCCCAAGAATTCAGTCCCCAATATGGTTCCCCCGTTGTCTTAGTGTGGCTTTTCAGGTGAGTTTATAATATTTCAGAGAGGGGTCATCAGCAAAGTAGCACGTGGTCTAAATAAGATTGTGAGAGAATGAGGTGTGAGACAAAGGGTGATCTCCTGACATTGCAAAGGGTCGGTCTAGTATATGGTCATCAGTTCATCTCTACCATCAACCTGAGTGCTTCTCAGGAACTGAACCATATATGACGTATGACATCTCCTTCTTTTGCTTTGACCCAGGAGAAAAACACATATCCCTAGCCTCTGTCTGATTCTTTATTTTTTTTTTTTTGGTATATCCCGGCAAATAACATTTGAGAGATAAAGTCAGAATACCATATTCAAAGGTTTCTTTGAGAAGAATTTCCCAAGGATTGAGTAATTGTGTGTGTTTGTTTATTTGTCTGTTCTGTGCATGTATAAATACAGAACAAGCAGTGAAATAAGACTGAAGGAAAACCCTATTCAATATTTGATTTAAGAATTACAGTTTCTAGTTGGGCACCAGGTCATTTTCTCTGTGCTTGATGACATAAGTAAGTTGTGTGTTCAGCAATATGGTCTTACCATCAGGTGATAGAGAGCCACCAATTGCCTTAGAAGGGTCTGTAGCCACATTGTATATTGATTTATACATAAATATTTATATAAACATATAAATAGCCATTCTTTATAGATAAAATTTCTGCAAATTGTATCATTTACAGAGGATGATAAAAAGATGTGCATTTGGGATGGAGAGTCAGATAAACTGGAAAAGTGTTTGTTGTACAAGCATGGAGACCTATATTTGACTTGCAGAAACAATATGAAAAGCTGTGTTAGTGGCACATATTTGTCCTTGAATGCTGGTGAGGTGGGGACAGGCACCCACTGGACATCCAGCCTAGCCTAATAGGTGAGTTATAGATCACAAAGAAACCTCCTGATCTCAAAAATATCAAGGTGGATGGTCTCTGAAGAATAAAACAAATGACATTTGGCTTCCATTTGTATGTGTAAGCATGCATGTGTGTTCCTAGCTGTAACATGAAAGCACACACATGTGACAGTGAGGACATATGAGGGATAAAATTGACTATGAAATTACATAGTGTTGTTGTCATCTGGATTGAGTCTAGAGTATAAGAATCAAAGAATATTAGTGTTCCCAAACTGGAATGGATGCATCATGATAAGGACATGGATTCAAAAGGAGTGATATCTGATAAATAATCAATGCTTACAACTATTCATGCAAAGCATCAGAATTGGAGATCACTTAACTTTATAGGAGATCATTTATGCTTATGTCCCACACTAGAAAATATACTTTATGAGTAAGAGGAACTTATCTAATGCAAAGGAAATGGGCACCAAGCAGGATTCAGGACTGTTGGAACACACAGTCTTCTGATCCTCTCTTACCTCTGGAAAGAGTTTAGGTGAACAGATCTTGGAAACTCATACCTTTGGGTAGAGAGCGCCCATCAGGGAAGGTGACAGGTTTGCTGAGCTCTCTGACAACACCTGGGACAGGTGGGTAGAGCCTCATGGCCTCCTTGATGCACATGGTGGTGTAGGGCATTTGGTCAAGGTGATCCCTGAAACAAGGTCCATCCTGAAGTTCAGGTAGACTGGAGACCAGTGGCTCCTCCCTACCCAAAGAATAGGGTTCTTCCACCTTTTGAACTCCTACCAGGTGATGGAGGATCCATCCCCCAGGAGGCTCTGAACTTCCTCCCTGCATCTCTGTTGGTGTTCAGGGTGTGTGGCCAGAGCATAGAAGATCCAGGAGAGTCCGCTGGCTGTGGTGTCATGGCCCTCGAACATGAATGTGTCCACCTCAGCACGGATGTCCTTGTCAGACAAGCTATCCCCATTCTCCGTCTGAGGGAGGCAACAGGTGTCATCAGAGCTGTGCTTTTTCCTTGCTGTGTGCTCCCAGGCAGACTCTCTGTGATACACACACCTCTGTGATTCACACTCACTTTGGCAAACAAGAGAATATCCAGAAAATCCAAACGTCTCTTCTTCTTGACCTTCTCCAGCTCTCCCTCATCCTGCAGCTGATCCTTTCTCAGCTTGATCACTCCATCTGTTCCAGAACATTAGTATCACATAGACCCCAGAGCTACAGTAACTCCATGTAGCATCATGTGTCTCCTTGCCTGAAGCTATGTGCTATGCATGGATCAGCAAGTAAGGAGTGGGCAGGTTAGAAGACCAGTACCATATGATGCAGACAAGATCTCCTCTCAGGACTAAGGGCTAATAAAGCTCTTCTTGAGATGCTGAGTTGGATTTCACCTTTACCAATATGATTACACATGCACAGTCCCTGGAATTTTGACATCTCAACTAAAACATTTGCAGTTTAAGAATATCTCCATGTGTGTGACCCAGGCACTATAAGGGCACAGAAGGGCCTAGATCTGCCTCAGAAGTCATCCACAGCCCCTTAGAGCTAGTCTTGGAAAATGAGGGGAGACGTGAGCTACAGACAGAACCTGTATGATCGTGGGCAATTTGACAGGCACGGTCGGCCAAGCGGCCGTTGGAGGACAGACTGTAGATGGTGTCATTCTGATGAAAGATGTTTCTCACACGGGAATAAAATAACTTGTTCAGGTCTGCAATGGCCTGGATGTAGGTCTTGTAATTTCTGAGGAAATAGATACAGAATAGATTAGACTGCGGAGAAGTCTACCTGCAGATAGATGGGCTCTGGGAAGAGATATCCTGTATGGTTGAAATAGATGGCATTGGTGCACACATTAATTCTTTCTTATAATTTTCAAGACTACAGAAGGTGGCATGAATATGTAGGCATCCACCTTAGGTATGAATGAGTGGTCTGTGGTCAGGTCAAGGTTGGAGTGTGTCAGGAATTGATCTGTAATGGGCTCAGACTCTTGATTTTTTTGTGGAAGCAAGTATATATGCTGCCTCACCTCCTGTATGACAGATAAGTTCATCCCAGTAGGTGAGACCAAAGGCCATGTAGTTCAATGGTTGTAACTCACCCGTCTACCTGGACACTCCCCTTGTGGTTGAAGGCACACTTCATGACGGTGTCAAGGGTCATCAAGGAGATGTGTTGAAAGATCTCTATGGAGGAGTCCTGTGCAATCAGCTGTTCCCACTTGTCCTGCAGTGGGAAGGGAACATTGACCTTATTTCCACAGAAGACTTGTGCTCATATATTGTAAATTTCCATATATTTTCAGATATGTGTTCTCTATGTCCTTCAATTTAGATAACATAAAGATGTTTTATCTGACAAATGATACTGTTTTCGGGGTAAAGATGATATGTCAGTATATGGAGAGCTGACCCATCCTGAGACAATGACAGGACTTCCATGTATTGAGCATAAAAAAAGCCTAGGAAGCCACTATGTGCACTTCTAAAGGGGTTGCTGTGACTTCAGTTACTATGTATTTATCAAAATCTCGTGGAGAACAACTGAGTCACAATCCAGATTCTGGTTGAAAGTTTGTGGTATGGTAAGTTTGGCTATGTCAGTGTGAGTCTGGTGTCCATTTCCCTGAGCTATCTATCATTCAAGTCCATGCAGAGGCACTGTGACACAGAGAAACACTGGCTTGGTATCGTCCTAGGAAGTTCTCTGAATTTCACGTTCTTCACGTTCTTGAGGATGTGAAGAGGTAACTGGAGTCTCTATCTAGCATGATGCTCTTTGCCTTGGGCAAAGTATGGCCATATTCTGGTACCTGGAATATTTCTGTTCTACCTCTGTTGGAAAAACCTGTATTTATACTAGAATACACGTATGGAGCTTGTTGGTGTACACTCCGAATAGGTGAAGAGAGACTCAGAGAGAGAAAAAAGAGATTGAGAGAGAGAAAGAAGAGAGAGGGAAGTGTGAGGAATAAGAGGAGGAGGAGTAAGAGGCTGAGCAGGAGGAGGACGAGGAGGAGGAGGAGGAGGAGGAGGAGGAGGAGGAGGAGGAGGAGAAGCAGCTGTTTTAGTACTAACAGAAGCAGGTGCTGATGTAGAACGCACAGCAGCGCTGAAGGGAAGTAGAGGAAAAGAAAATCAAATGAACTCACGAGCATCAACCGGACAGAGTCGGCCATGGTTTTCACGTAGGGCTTCAGAATGTCATAGTGGAAGGCTGGGGTCAGCATGCGCCGGTGCTGGAACCACGGCTGTCCATTCAGCAAGAGCAAACCATAGCCTGGGCCAGAGATGGGTGTACGTGTGTGTGAGATGGAATCAAAGCGCCCGTTAGATAAACCGTGTGTGTGTGTTGGGGGTAGAGGGCTGTGTGGAGTGGAACTGATGATGAGAGCTAAGAATGGTAGAGTCCAGAACCGGAAATTTATAGCTTGTGGGACTGGTATACAGACTGTGATGATAAAAATTGTGAGATAAAAATCGCAAAAGAATTTCAGGGAGGGGGGAGGTGGCGGCATGAATGATTAGTTAGGACTGTTTGGAACAGTGAAGGGTCAGAAGCCTTGCTTCTACTTCACTTGGGCCAGGGAGAGGAGGGCTAGATCAAGGCTATGGTCCCCTGTCACATTTTGTTGTCTGTGAAACAGAGTCACAGGTCTTGGATGCTCGAACTGGGGCCAAACTACATTCTCCATTCAGACACACATACCAATCCAAGGAGCCAGCAATCTGTAGGCTCCATGTGCCTTTGGATCTGAAACAGAAACAAGAAATGGGATAAGTCAGGCAGCTCCGAGGCAGCTGTGGTGGAAGCCACGGATCTTTGATCTTTTAAGAGCTGTCTGTTGGCAGACTGTCCTGTGTCATTGTCCATTTCCTCTCTCTCCTTCTAGCTTTGTCCTGACAGTCAGGCTTAGGAAGGCAGGATTCATCTAGCAGTAGTTGAACTCCTCCGGAGCACGAATGGTGAATTGGTGAGGAGCAGGCCATGTGCCCATACTCTAAGAAAAAAACAGGTGTGACTCTGTGTGTGTGTGTGTGTGTGTGTTACAGTATATCATGAGTTAGTTATCCAGTAACTCTAGGCAGGTAACAATTGAGTTTTCAAACTCAAACCATAATGTTTTTGAGGTATACTTTTCAGTTCTGAAACAATTTATATGACTTATCATCTTTGATTAAATAGCAAATTATTTTGTTATAATTTGGTTAAATAGCAAAGAAAGATAAAAACTTTTGGCTAAAGGCTGGAAATTTAAGTTCTGAGTGCTGTTGACCACATTCTGAGTTGTTGTCTGGGAGGATGGTAGGTAGAGTAGGTAGGGCAATGGCATACTGCCACAGTCTTGTGGAATTCGCCAGCCATGGGCTAGTTACAAAGAGAATGGCACAAATTTCTTCAGAATGATATATGCTCACCTGACCGGCCCAGAATCACCTTCATGTAGTCAGGGTCATAGGTAATAAGATAAGCTTGGCTCCCCCAGAACCAGCGAGGAAAGGCACTTGGGAAATTCTCCACAGTCTTCATAATCACCTGTAGCTCCTGATCACCCTCGAACTGCTGTTGAGGGAAAAATAAAGAGGTGGGACTCTGGTGTAGGAGTTTCTTCAGTTTGTGTGTTGCTTTCATTGGATAATGACTATAAAAACTGCCTTGACCTAGTTGATAGCACAGAACTTAGGTAGGTGGAGTAGATAGAACTGAATGCTGGAGGGCAGAGTGGCAGATGCCATGGATCTCCTGCCTGAGACGGACACTGGTTAGAATCTTGCCAGTAACCCACAGTCACATGGCAATACACAGATTAATAGAAATGGATTAAATTAAGATGTAAGAATTAGCCAATAAGAAGTTAGAGCTAATGGGCCAGGCAGTGTTTAAATGAATACAGTTTCTGTGTTATTATTTTGGGTTTAAGATAGCCAGGAGGCCAGGATGACAAGCAGCCCAGTCCTCCTGTTATAGGACTCTAGTTAGGTTTTTGGCTGGAGACAAGAACTGAACCAGCACAGGAATGTAGTTCTACAGATGCAGCCAGGATTTGAAACAGTTTGATGGACCATCTGCGCTATCACTCAGAGCTTTGCTACACTGGGGATTGGTCCTGAGCTGGTTTGACAGTACTGTTGGGTGGATCCTCAGCTCTGCATGCAAGTACCACATCCCAGTGTTGTTCTAAGGCTTCTATTGCACAATCCTTTGTTGAATGCTTCTTCGTGTATCCTCCTACTTGGCTCTGGGACATATTTCCTGTGTTGCAGTGCAAGGAGTTGATACCTTCCATTCATAATACACAGGGTGCTGCACCATCTCCTTCCTCAGAGATCTTAGACACATGTGCCTGGGTCTTCACCTGAGCACTATGGTGTGCTTGTCCAAATAGCTAACAGCACAGAGTGTGTGGAAGGAGAATAGAGAACTAAACAGACCCTGAGGAAATTCTGACATCAGTGCCCTCACGTGAGGAAATTACACAGCCTTACTCCTTTCTGTTCCATGACTTATCCATACATCCTGAAAATTCCCTTGTGGTGGTGGGGAATCATCTGGGCCAGCTACCCACTCATCCTAGCAGTGTGGACTCTTCCTGTGCCTGACAGCTCCTGAGATGGTGCTATTGCCACACCAAGAACCCCACAGAGCCAGGCTTCCATCTCACTGACTTCTGTGTTCCCAGCAAGCCCTGAGCTGGGAGAGAATAACCGTGAATGACTATGCAAGGAACCTCCTAGAAGCTGTTTGAGAACAGCAGAGGGTGTTGAAGAAGAGGAGACTAGGTAGGCTCAAACACCGAGGGCAGGGCTCTCAGTACAGAGATGGCTACAGCCAGGCAGGTTGAGCCACCTTAATGCTAGAATGTATCTCAACCTGAGCTCTGTGTCTCATGAAGTACTTGGACTTCTTATACAGTAGGTTTTGTCCTGTCAGTTTGATGGCCAGTGTGTATAACCTCCATCCTCCCTGTACCTCCATCCTCCCTGTACCTCCATCCTCCCTGTACCTCCATCCTCCCTGCACCTCCATCCTCCCTGTACCTCCATCCTCCCTGTACCTCCATCCTCCCTGTACCTCCATCCTCCCTGTACCTCCATCCTCCCTGTACCTCCATCCTCCCTGCCACTACATCCTCTCTGTACCTCCATCCTCCCTGGTCTTCCTCCCACCCTTCCCTTTCCATAC